GGAAACCGATACAGAAAGTGAAAGAAATGATACAACTCGAGCTCTATGGACGAAGACACATCCTCACCCAGGAGAATCCACTAAGGCAACACGAAGCCCAACACCATCAACGCTCATTCCTAACAACACTACTAACCACATACCCAAATCACTAACTACTCTAAATTCAAATTCAAAATAATCTTTATTTCATAGGTAAGCATTATTACACATGAAATCGTCACAATATTAATCTCTACCGCTCATTCGTAAGGCAGATTCCCCTGAGAAGAATGAGCAAGAAACTCTAGGGGTTGCTCTTTGTAAATAACATTTACAATATTTTTTTTTTATTTGAAACATCAGAGATCGAGACCACCTCCATAAGCTAAACGGGTTACTACCACGGATTTTTGTCATCCAAGTACGCAGAAGTTGTATAATAACCTTTAGTATAAAGTTTTTGTTTCACTATAGTTTTAAACCTCGTGAAAGGCAAATTTTGTATATCAACCGGAATCTTGTTATAGAAGCGTATACATTGCCCCTTAAATGATTTTTTGACTTGGTGAAGACGACTATCACGAAAAGCTAGTTTATTTCTATTCCTCGTATTAATGTTATGTCTGTCACTATTTTTCATAAATAAATTACTATTCCTTTTAACATAAATTACATTCTCATAAATGTACTGTGAGGCTAGTGTAAGAATGTTAATTTCCTTAAACTTATCTCTCAAAGATACTTTGGGGCCCAGATTGTAAATTGCCCTAACTGCACGTTTCTGCAGGACAAAGATTCTGTTGATATCGGCGGCATTACCCCAAAGCAAAATGCCGTACTCTTACTTAATAACTTAATCATTAACTACTCTACCTACTTTCTGTCACTTTCTGTTCCGGCTGTGCAGGCCGGCAGGAATCTGGACACCGATTGCGGTTGGTTGGTCTTCCCTTCCACAATCCTGGGCGTGTCACACCCTGAAACTGTGTCCCCTGGTATATCCGGCTTAGATTTACTCTGGCTGGATGTGGTGTCAATGAACAAAGAGCAATGAGAGACTTCAAAAAGGAGGAGGTTCTCAGTTCGTATGTATTTTTTTTTTTGTATGTGTGTATGTTTCGCGATAACTCCGATATTTATGAATCGATTTCGACGAATCGTTTTTGTTGGAAAGGAGCTACCTCAGTAGTCGTACCATTTAAAATTCAAGAAAATGTTTCACCACTAAGAGTGAGAAAATCCCTAATGAATCCGGTTTATCGAATTTCATATACTTTTAGCTTAAATAAGAGACTGGCTCGCGGCACCCAATACACCATCACGTGCCGGTAATCCAGAGGCTAAAGAGTCACCATAGCTTCATTAAAGTGTACCCTCCGGTCGGGGAAACTAAGCAGGGCCGAATAAGTCCCGCTCTGATCCCGCTGTCGGACCACCTCCCTCCTGGGCATGATCTACCTTGGCAAACTTGGAAGTCCCTAAATAGGTTGCGGGCCCAAGTCGGCCAAAGCAAGGAGTGTATGCACGGGTGGGGTTACAGCTCGGAGAGCGCATGTCCGCGTGGTATCTCTCCGCAGACAATGGCACTGTCCTGCCCTGCGTGCCCAGGTGTACCTGCACACACGAGACCCTGTACAACGCCACTGATAATGCTATCCCAGTCGCTAAGTACTGGTCCTCACAAATATAAACGTCCGACCGCCAAAAAGAGCTCTCTCTACTTTCCGGTAACCGATTTCAATAAAACTTGGCGAATAGTTGTAATTCCAATGAAAATAAAATGTTATGGTGACCTAGAGCTGATCTAATAATAAAACGATGACAGATGATAGGAACTCCTCAATAGTGTACAGCAGCTACTTTGTGTTTGGGCTCATATGATTCGTTTTGATGAGGACTTCCATATGCATTTCAGTTATCGTTGAGGAGACTGTGGTAAAGAACACAGCGAAAGCGGACAAGAAAATTGATGAGGTTAGTTTTTATTATAAAATTTTATTTTCTGAACTCAATTTCAACTTCTCGTTATTTCGCTATATAAACTCACGTGTATTAGAAATGACGGTTCGAAATTTCACAGAAATCATTTTATGTCTGGGTGCACAAGCCATGTTCGTATTTTCTCGAATTCTTATCGAATTAAAGTACGGGCACGCTATGATGGCCGTTTTGACAGATTACAATAGTGAGGTTGTAAGCTGATTAAAAAGTTTTAACAAAACGAAAATAAAAATGTTTATTTAATATATCGTCAATTCGAAACTGCTTTGTTTTGCATTGAGCTTTGACGCGAGTTTGCCGAAGGTAGAAGTTGTGCTGGACAGCGATCCTATAAGTGACGATCGTATTACATTTTTTTTAAATTTCGACTTTCGAAAAACAAATGCCGTGATGTGTCGTAAAATTATACATCCATAAATTTTACTGCACGTCACTATTGACAACAATGTACATCAATTAGCTCCGATTAAGTTACGAGTATCATCTCCAGATCAGCAGCATTGTTAATTAGGAATGGGTTTCGCAAATCGTATATAGTTATTGAAACTATATATTGTGCCATTATCGAATATCCGATACTGTCTATCTTAGAAACTATACATCGATATTGCTGCGTATCGCGTATTTTATAGCGATGCCGAATCACGCCGAGCGATTACCGAGTGGATACCAACACGAAATCATATATTTTCCAAACTATATACCGAGATTGCTTCGTATCACATATTCACTGAGTGGATATCAACGCGAAACCATTTTTTGTTCGTCTTCGAAACTGTATACTAACATTGGCCCGCATTGCTCTTGTAAAACTATATCCAATAATATATAGTTTCGAAATCTGATTCCGAATATCAGTAACGGCAATTTATCAACGCAGCACGCACGCGGGCTGTATCCATGAATATATAATTTCAGAAAATATATACTTTCGATACGATATTCAGAAAAAGCTATATTACCCATTCCTATTGTCAATCGGAGCCCAATAACCCCGCAGTTTTTTCTGAATCATGGACGTATTTAATTGTACTGTCTTTTCAATTGTATTTTATGGAAGATTAAGTAATTTTGTTTTTTTTTTTTTCATTTTAAACTGAATCTTCTGTATTGTTACAGTACACGAGACCAATTCATATGTACCCGTGATAAAGTAGAAAATAACTAAAAAGAAAGTGACTAGCAACATCTCCCTATGTTTTAAATAGCATTTTTACAGCTATTCCTTTAGAGTTGATGCGAAATATATTTTATGGTCTTGATGTAAGAAAAAAAACGCTAGTATTAAGAAAACTTTCTTTTTTTTAAAGTTCAACAAGAATAAAAACACAACAACAGATTTGTACAATAAATAAATCAACTACAACATGAAGACAGTTGAAAATGACTTAAAATTAAATAACAATATATTTACAAAGTACGGTCAACCATTCATACGAAACGCACTCATACACCAATCATCATACAATTTAATGATCTTTATGATGGTGAATAGTCTTGTAGACGGGAATTTTGACAGGGTAAGGCTGCGGTACGTGGACAGTGACAGTCTTTTCAATCTTAATTGGGACGTGTTTTTCTACTGGGTAGGGAACATGTTTCACTACTGGATAAGGCACAACCTTTTCAACTGGAATACTAATCTCAGTTTCAACAGGAACAGCTACTGGCTTGTGTACTGGAACCTTAACGGGATACGGTTGAGGTATACCAACGAGAATGGGTTTGGGTACATTCACATGAATAATCTTAGGGACCGGGTAGGTAACATGTTTGTACTGGGGTATTCCAACTGGTGTTTCTACGTCAACGTGTTCTCCAACTGGAAAAGCCTGAGACTGGAAATTATGTCCATCATCCCCGACGGAGTTGTGAATATCACCACCATCATGTCCGAATTGGTTTCCGGCATCTTGAAGAATCATATGTTGGAAATTACCTTCCCACCCATTGGAATTTTGTTGTCCATGTCCCTGTTGTCCAGAAGGATCAGCGTACTCAACACTATGGTCTCCCTGTTCTTCAGAAGCACTTTGTTGATATTCTTCCTGACTACCGTCTAGTCCATGCGCGCCGTGGTCGAAACTTCCTAACTCTTGAGCGGCTTGCAAGTATGAATCGCCATGGAAGTTGTTCGGCGAAGCACCAAATCCAGAATGGCCACTAAAACCACTAACATCAAAACCCCTGGGTTGAAGAGATTGAAATTGCTGGAATGAAGGGAAAGCATGTCCATTATGACCAACTCCATGGATCTGGTTTAAATGATAGGAGATATCGCCTCCTTTACCACCATCAAAATTCTGTCCTTGACCTTGACCTCCAGAGAAATGATTTTGCCCAGCGAATTGGTGACCCCCGAAATTATAATCACGGGAACCACCAAAATTATGTCCCTGGTCTTGAGAACCAGCAAAGTTATGCCCCTGGCCTTGGTTGCCTGTGAACTGGTGAGCTTGGCCTAAATAGTCATGACCTTGACTTTGTGCTGCAAAGTTGTGTGTTAAAGGTGCTGAAGGTGCTGAGTGATCATGTCCTTCTGAGGATCCCCCTTCACTTGCACTGTTGGATTCACTGCTTCCCGAGTAGCTGTTCGATATGACACCGGCCTTGCATGAGGCAACTGCCAGCACCAATAGGCATACCTGAAAATGAATGAAAGAGATAAGGTTAGGTTAGAAAGGAACAAAAGTCTCAAAAAACTCAAAATCTTCAGGAAATGCTGAGCAATTTTTAAATCTTAATTTGGATACAATATCCCACCAGACCAACAGGCATCAAAAGAGGCAATACATTTTATATGCAGTCCTGTTTTTTAGTTATTGCATCCTATATAAATAGATAGGTAAAGGAAATTGGAATTTATGTTCAGACGGCATCACACAAAGCTACACATTGACGGATCTTGTTCCCAGGCACTGGAGGTTATATTCGAACAAAAGTGTATAGCTTGATGTGCTGTTGACTGTACTAAACATTGATACGCCTTGATTCGGACGACTACACAAAACAAACTAAAACCAACAAATTTCTTTCAATTTTCCTTAGTCAAAATGATCTCAGCAACAAGTAAAATCAACAATTTTTTTTATAATATTATTTCTATGTTCATTGACCAGAACTGTAACAGAAAAGAAAAAGCTCATTTATCCACTGGATTGCATCAAATTGCTACCATTGAATCATTTGGTCTAGTTTCATGAAGACGAAAAAAGAATCAAGACCACACGTCGCCGCTGCCGCTATGGCATTCACATTCACTTTTCACCAGATTTCGGTATTTACGAGCATTCACTGCCCGCAAATTGATGTCAATTCGATTACATACTCGTATTACCTAATAAGGTAAATTTAAACTGATTGTGAATGAAATGATTGCGTGGTTTTAGTATTATGTTTTAATTGTTCAGCTCATTACGTTGACATAACAACGTCGTAAGCACATTTTAGGAGAATGTTTAACCCTTCTAAAATATGTGAAGTCCCTAAATCGCAAAGAGATATGGGCCTAAACCTGCTCCTTGGAGAACATCTTTAACGTATGTAGACCAAAATGGGTGCTCCATTTGTCATTTTCATTAAATTTACCTTTATATTATTACGGTTTGAAGTTAGTTCCCATTAAATTTAACACTACAAAATTAATTACAATAATTGGAGGTGACTGTCCTCGACCCTTTCTAATACCTTAAGAACAATGTCAAGACAAAAAACCGAAACTGACTCGCAATGTCATCTCTATTATTTTAATCTTATTGAAATGAGTAGTCTAGTTAAGCGAGTGTGACGCTCATTTGCATCATAAACATTGCTCTAATAAGAAACATGCCTATATAGTTTTACTCCGAAAAAGTAAAAGTAACCCACTGAATACCAGTGTAAGTTGACAGGTAGATTAAACTCTATTATATATCGATTTGATCCGTAGAAAATCGATTATGCTTTTGTCGTTTTTAATTGAATTTACGTTAAGAAATAAAGTCTTATAAAACAAGAATAAAAAAACATTTAAGTAATTGCGTTCACTTTTAATTATGTGTATTAACTCCAAAATGCTGCTTTCTTTATCAGACCCGCCTATTTCTCTTACAATTATACTGGGTTAAAATTTTATGCGTCAGACAAAATTTTGATAGTTTGTTAAAATATATATGAAATTTCCCTTTATAACGGTTTTCATAGTAAAAGGCATGTTAGTGTATGCTGACATCTTTAAGCTCTTTCATCACTTTCTTTCACATAAATCCGACCTAATTTATAATGTAAATAAAACACAGTCATTATTACATTATGTTGCGTTTCTCTTGAATTATTCGGAGTTTTAAATAAAAGTACGCCTTAAATGGCGAGTTATTTAAAATAACGGATTTTATGAATGGTGACCCAGTAAACATAAAATAAACTAATTTCATGCTTCGCGTTTGAGACTTCCAGCTACCACTACCAATCTATAGAAAATAATCGTGACGAACAAATTACAATGTTATTTGTGCAGCCCAATAAAGTACAGTTTCAATGTGTCTAAATTTTTTAAATTGAACAAAGTTTCTCCCACATAAATTCGCCTTATTTTTAATTGTTGTTGGCAAAAACCTTTCACAAAAGGCTGTCTCAGTTGATGACCATTAGTGCAAATTATTAAAAAAAAAAAAAACAATTTATACAACGCATTTTCCTGAGTCATGGTGGGCTGAGTTTAAGGATCATTATCTACTAAATCGGAGTGGAAAGGAGTTGTATTAGCAACCAATAGTATTTTGAATAATCTCCACTCAAGATATTATTGTTGGTTGCTAGAGCTTTTTTCTGGTCCGTTTTTGTGGATAATGGGGAAAAAATCAGGTAGTGTATTGTCCACTCCATAATCCATGCTTGGCAGTCCGGCATGGTAACCGTTCAGCCACGGAGGCAGTTAAAGTATTATTTTATGCTATGTTTTCTTTCTTTTATTATTTTAACATCTAGAATCATTTATGCTTGCTTGTAAATTACTGACTGATTGAAAAAAAAAATGTTATACCTAGTTTACTCTGTTGGTTATTATTTTTGTCAGTAAACATTCAACATGTCTTCAATATATTTGTATGCCTAATGATTGAGCAAGCACAGTAAAACTATACTTATATTTGCCTCTGTAAACTCCTAGAAACTACTGTTTTCACTAATAAATGACTTAAAAAAATGTATTTATTTATTATTCACCACTACCATAATGTATTTTTTATTATATTTTTTATTATTCTTGATAGAAAGATTGAACACAAAAAATCCTGTACTCGAACCAGTGTTTGTTGCCATGTTAGGGCCACAGCTCTTAGCCAACTGAACTACAGCCCGAGTCATAACCACTCCGACCGAGTCATATTTTTTTATGTTTCTGCTAAAGTAACAACATGTTTCTTACAATGAGTTAACGTTATTACGTTAATCACCATCAGAATAATGGCCGGGCCATTTTGTTGCACCCTGTATGGAGTTAATTAACTCTTTGGTTAACGGAACAGGATTACTATATACGTTCTTTAAATACGTTCACTGTCGTTCAAATAATGTGGTCTTAATTATGTTATGAAATTGACGTTCTCTTTTACGACCTGTTAGCTATTAAAGAGGGTAAAGTAGGACTGTTCAGTTTAGAAAATTTTAAACAATGACAGTTTCTATTAATAATAACAACTCAGCCTAAACGAAATTTAAACCCCTTCTACAATGGTTTAGTCCATACGTCGATCGAGGGATCAAAATATAGCGAAGCATTGTTTATTTTTCACCTGGTATAATTATCTACTATGTACGAGAAACTCGACTTAGGTTTAGTTAGTTTTTGCAGAATACCAAGTGAAGGGACGAACGACTCGCGCGTCTGGTGGGCAGCTTTAAATCGCAAAGACGTGACGGACGCTATAACCGCGCCCGTCACCTTGAGACATAAGTTGACAAGTCCCATGTGCTTCTAATTTCGCCAACACTTTTCAAAACACACACACACAAACAGAAATAGATAAGGTACGCTAGATGATCGATTCATTACATAATTATAGAATATATTATTAAAAAAAATGGTTCAACAAGCCCTTTTTGCTAAGTAGCAATGTTTTGAAATTTTGCAAAAAAAAATTCAAATTGTTCATTCAACATGTATTAATAGAATACAATTGGCAATAATAACAGACAAATGGTGTAAGCGAAATACCAATCTATAACAAATATCGATCCAACAGCAAGTAAAAGGGATTACGTTATTGATGATAAAATACATTCACTTCCGCAAGAACCTTCTAATAATTATTTTAGAATGTCTCTATCATAGTGATAGTTAAGTTAGTTGTATGTTTTGTATACGTCGACAAGATTTCAGTTACTTCCGTTGACCAAGCACCTAAATAAAACAACTATTTACATAACGTAACGGCTGTAAGTAATTGGCCTAGGCTGAGTAATTCGCTATTGCAAATGTAACGAAAACAAAAAAACATTTTGTTATTTCTTTTCTACTTGCGGTTAGCTAAAACCATAGAACTGTAAAAGATTTTTAAAAGATATTAAGTTACAAAACGTTAATATAATGAAATTTACATAAACAACAATAAACATTTGTCGTCTAAACAACAATAACGAAGAAATCATTAAAATTTTTGCTGTTCACGAATTATTTGAAATTACTTTTCTTTTTAATTTTATTGCGACTGTTGATGAATTATTCAATGAAAAGGAAATGATGAAGCTACTATACGGCATAAAGTAATCTTTTTCAGGCGTGGTGTTTAAGTTATATTATAATGTGTAACCGTTGACCTACCAATAACAAAGATTTTCACAGCCGTGACTGTCAATTTTAAAATTGCTGTATAGTGCACATGAACTTCGTGACTTTTGCAGCGTAAGAAACTTACATAGTCACACTATATAGTGACATGTCTACTGCACTAGCAGTTATCATGAAGTCAGACCGCATCTGAACTGCTTCCGAACTGCTTTCTTGTTATAATTATTAATACAAAGATCGAACACTCAGAAAAAATTCCTTCGATCCGGTCGAATTCGTACCGACGTCTTCTAGTTTACCGTGCTAGACGGTATACCAACTAAGCCACGGAACGAACCAACGGACCTCACGAATTTTTCTATGTGCTTGCGTCATGTCTTTGTATTTGGTTGTTCAACGACTTTTTAGTCGTAGCGCCATCTATGATTTATCACCCAGTTAGTACCTTTACAGTTACCAGTCCTGGCGAGAGATGTCGCTATTCACTGTATTTTAAATTTTTATTGAATTGATATTCAATTATTTTTTGTGAAATTACTTCACTAGTTTGTTATAATTATTACTACAAAGATCGAACACTCCGAAAAAATTCCTTCGATCCGGCCGGATTCGAACCGACGTCTTCTATCTTTGCTTCTTCTTCTTGCTTTTCCTTTCATGTTGCCATATTTAACCGACTTTAAAAGAGGAGGTGATTCTCAATTCGATTGTTGTTTTTTGTGTGTATATTACGCAATTACTCCTGCATATGTGAAGTGATTTTGAACATTATTTTTTTGTTGGAAAGGGGGTACCACTAGTGATCCCATTTAAATTTGAAGAAAATACTCCATTTATAAGGGTGGCAATACAGTTGATGAATCCGATTTCGCGCACTTTCCGTTAACTGATTTCAATAAAACTTGGCAAATAGATGTAATTCCAATAAAAATGCAATTGAAGTGCAGTTTGTGTGACTACGGATATAGAAGCAAAATTGCAAAAAAGCATATTCTTTGTGCAGAAAGTTTATCGTATACAATGTTTTGCAAAGTGTGTTTTTACTTATTGTTATAATTGTAGTTTTTTAATCATAATGGGAGCATTTTTTCACAACCAAAATTTTAAACACTTCTTTTCGCAGAACTTAATACATTGAAACTAAAACGTTATCCAGAAGTGCACGTAAGAAAATAAGTAGAATTTATGGCTACAGATGCATTTACAGTTCTTGTGATGTTCACTAAGTGCAGTGTTGTGTATTTTTTATGTCTAGTGCGAGTTAATGTAGCGTAAATATGGGTAACTTTATTACGGTTAAACATTTTATTTTAGCAGGAGAACTCCCGCCATTGTAATAAAGTTTACCTGTGCTTAGACCGCAAGAAAGTTTTACAAGGCTCTGGGATGGCAAAGTGCCCAAATTGATGAGGAGAGGTACATACATGATTCCATGTTCTAGCTTAATCAGTGTCCCGTCAGAGATGGTAAAAACATTGCGTGTGTACATTTTGAATGAATTTGGTCACATTTTTGAAATTGTTTTAGGTTATGTTTAAATTTCACTATAGTTTATTTCATTGTAGGTTTTTTAACTATTCGAGTATTTACGGAAGTAACGTAATGCATTAATTGATAGCTTATAGTGAACTTAGTCAGCCATGGTCATCGAATCTGTAAAGAGCCCGAAACACTGGTTTCTTTGAAAAAACAAAATTATACGCGATTTAAATCCGTAATAATAATTATAAATATAAAAACAAAAAAAAACACGAAAAACGTCTGTGTAATCCCGCAACATACACAAAAAAAGCAGATGAATTAAGTACCTCCTCCTTTTTTGAAGTCGATTAATTCATTTTGAATGTGTAACAATGGCGACAACCAAGAACTCGATATGATAGCATAGTTTTTTCACTTATCAGTTCATGGCTTAAAAGTTTACCTTTTCGTTCTAGACATAAAGTTAATATTCGGTCACCATTAGGTTGTGACATTCTATGTTTTAATCATCGGATTTTTTCTTCAAAACATGTTCAGTCAAGAGCACAGTTTGACACTTTGGACTGTTCTTATAGCAAGATAGTGTTGAAATTAAATCTTAGAGCGGTGACACACACGCGCGACTTTAAGCAGCGGTGCCAACAGATGCATGTTTTGAATTAATGAACTAATTTATTTATTTAATGTATTAATTAATTTTACTCTTAAATTTTCAACAAAACAAAGCAATGTGCATAAACTTATACAGATTTTCCGTACATAATGATTCAACATAAGCGAATGTATGCGATGCAATCGCCTATAAAGCGCATTTGCGTGGCTGCGAAGTCGCCGAAGTGTCACGCTTGATCCGTTGGGACACAATAATATATCATTATATAACATTGTAGCGGTACTTAACTAACCAATTAAAAAACATACTTTAATTGTTCTGTTATAAGGTTAACATTTGAAGTTACGTTTTTACCACATCCATGAGTTTCTCAGTAAAATTTTTAGTCTCGGATCCGAAGTTTACACTTTAGAAGTACAGTAAACACCACTCTCAAAAAATATATAATAATCATTATTTTCCGTATAAGGTTGTTAACACCTACTTAAGAATATAATGATGTAATTACAATCTGTGTTAGAGATCTAAAATATTAATCCTATGATTTAGTTTAGGCTCCAGCTTTCCACAAATGCGCTCTGTTGGTTAGTTTTTAATTAAAGGGAAGGTTTCCAATTCGATTCGATAACTAACGATTTGTTAACCGATTTTGATGATTATTTTATTACTGGAACGAGGATACTTCAATAGTGTTTCATTTAAATTTGAAGAAAATATTCCACCTCTAAGAGTGTCAAACTAGGAGACGAATCCGGTTTCGCGTACTTTTCGGTAACCGATTTCATTGAAACTTGGCAACACAGATGTAATTCCACGAACTTTTCAGGCAGGTTTTTTAGTACTCTATACTGAGATTATTACTTAAGGCTTTTAGTAAGTTTAGTTTTAGTAAGTAAGTATGTTTTAGTACTTTTTGTGGAAAGTGAAAATAAATTATTATTGTTATATTTTAAGAAACAAAAGAATAACCGAACAATAAAAAAACTACTGAAAAACGAAATTAATCTTTCGGTAACTTTTTCTTTTATTACACCAAGTGACGGCACGAACTAGTCGTGCGTCTGGTGGAAGGCGACACGCCTACTAATAACAGGTGCAGTGAGCTTCAAATTACAAAGATCTAAGCGGTACAATCACCGTCTCTGAACCGGTTACTCCACTACATAAGGTTAACAAATCCTATGCACCCTTACCCTTCAAAACTATACCCTCCTTGTCTTGACTAACGCATTTGCAATTCGGTACCGTTCGTGCTATTGGCACACAAAGTTTTTTTTTCTTTGAATAGCTATAACTTTTTTATTCCAAATAATATGTTAATAACTCTATTTCGCAAAAAAAATCGATTACGTTAGTTATATAAGGTGGGCAGAATGCTTGGCGGCAGAAATAGGTATCGTGGCAGTACTTCCGTAAATGAACCCTTTCACAAGGAAGTAGACCTCATAAACAGGGACAGATACTTTGTCTCGTACACCTGTAAGTACGATGGCGAACAAGGTGAAGTTAGGGCGCAGTGTTAAGCAGCGGAAGGTTGCCTATTTGGATCATGCACAGCGACATAACAGATCAGTTGCACACCATAATGACGGGCAAAGTATATGGGAAGCAGAAAGTTGAAAGAAGGAAAATGTCATAACTTCGTGACATCAAAAGCATAAAACCACTTCCGTGCGTACCTCCGGTATCTTCGAACTTTCGGCGGAATACATATCTTTTACGCGCGAGTAATAGCTTTAATGTATTGTCCAGCAGGTTGATATTGACCTTTTAATTCTAGTGTTGCATCGGTAAAGGGCCTCATTAGCAATTTGTTATTTGGCGAATTTATTGTATTAGTGTTGCGAATCTGTATGGTATATTAAATAGTTATAATTTAAGACTCGTTAATTTCAACTTAATTAATGTGTGTCTATTGGTGAGGACCTACAATTGGCGTTCCATCGTTATTTAAGTTTTTGTTCTTTAAGATAGTCGTTGGTCTTCACATAAATAAAAATAAAACAGGCTAGCTCTGGACAAAGACAGATAGAAAGCCAACCTTCAATAATGAAGAGACACTTGAAAAAGAAGATGTACTTGGAATAGTTCTTTAATACCAGGTAGTTATTTCAGATAACAGACGAAGAGTTAATTAGGCCTTAAAATACCGAAACAAATTAGCCGTTCCATACGTTTTGGTATGAACTTTTTGTATGGAGCAGTTAGTTCCGTGATTTGAGAAGTGTCCCTGCAGTGAAAGTTATTTATTTTCATTATATCATTGGCCTCGTTGGCAATGCGATTGCCTCCTGTGAAGAAAGACCTAGATTCAACGCATTACTGAGTTTACTCAAATAGTCAGTTGTTCTGGTATATTAACCGATATTTGGTTAACCTGACCATGGACAGTAACACCGTTTACCGTCAAGTTTAATATGAGTTTTCCAAGTGCTTTCTGTGCAACTGCTTTTCCATAGACAAGTATCAACAATGTACTGAGAAAATTCAATGATTTGCATTATATTTTATTGAACATTTTAAATTGAATAATATAAGCACTGCGACAAGAAAAATACTGACATCTTTGTGTGCGTGGCGTATTAAGTGCTGTCCGTGAAAGGGTTAAATGGTAAAGAAAAACTTAATGATGAGAAGGCATGAAGGAGACTGGCAAAACTCTTTGTAATTCCCAACTTCTGAAATTTCCTTTTAACAGACGCAGCGTTGTGGCTTGCCTAAAACTCTCTCCTTGTAGGAGACTCATGTAGAGCAGTGACATACGCCCCGTATACACTGGAAGATGAGAATAACTGCCTCCGTGGCCGAACGGTTACCATGCCGGACTGCCACGCAGAAGTCCCAGGTGCGATTACCGGGCCGGGAGAAATATTTGAATGGCTTACATTTATTTCTCTCGTGATTTTGGGTATAATTTGGGATTGTTTATGTGTGTGTCCATGGCACCCGCGACTCACCGCCCCACAATAGGGTTTCCCTAGTGTGGGGCTATATTGAGTGTGCGCGTTATTACGATTATTATCCCTTGGAACTTAATTACGGAAAAGCCCAGTATAGAACTCTCTTTAAAAAAAGTGTTATAAATGAACAAATTTGTGATGCAGTCCAAAGGAGAAACACACCTAGAACTTTTAAATGCAAAAACCTTTAGATCGGTTCTTGTAAAACATCGATTCCTTCATGTGGTTCCTATGGCTTCACAGACCATAGCAGCCTTGTGGCATCAAAGAGATATTAGTAAATACTTAAGTTATGGAAAAGAAATCATTTCACTCATAATTGAATTTAAAAAAAAAGACTGAAATTCTAAATAAGAATTTCGAATACACACACCGACTTTCAAAGGACTAAATATGAAAAAAAAATCAATCACTTAAAAACTTTTAAACATCGAACACAGGTTTTCGCACTTTTTTGCACCGTTTTTGCACTAAACACTTTGAAATATAAAGAAAAATGACTTACAAAAGTCTTCATGTTGCTACGTTTAGTTTGCGGGCTCCACTACCCGGTATCGACGATGCAATGATGGTTACCATTCCACGCACTTACATTTTATACTACCGGGAAGTGACAGTCACTTACACCGAACTCTTTTTGAAAGTCGTCTGGTTTTGGAACCGTACAGAGTTGCTAATACTCCGCTTTTTTATTTTTATCGAGCTCTATTGTCATTTAATGGGTTATATTATTTACTTGTTAAACGTCATGCGTAGTTATTCGTTTATGAATAAGTTGTCTACTTAAGCAATATTATAATGACTTAATTTTAATTTTACATACAAAAGATCGACAGCGTACTAACAACAACGGTTAATAAAGTAATAACATCAGCTATTTTATTTTCTCCAACCATGTATAGAAAATGCAGTTACTTGAATATTGTTTTTTTTAATGGCACTGTGCAAAATCGTTCTGTTCCAGAAACTCTGCATAGGTAATTTTGATACAGAAAAGTCGACTGTATTACTATCAGTACATAAGTGATGTAACCCCACGAAATAATAATATAATAATAAACATTTTAACAGACAACTGAGATCCATAAAAATATTAGACCGAAATTAAAAGCATACTTTTAGTTAGTACGAGCACTTACATTATTTTTTATTTACAATACCAAGCGACGGGATGAACAAGTCGTATGCCTGGTGGTAAGCGACACGCCTATCCATAACAGTTGCAGTGCCAGGCAAATAATTTTAATAGCAAACTGCCACTGTGCCCGTCTTCCTGAGACTTAACTTGACACGTCTCATGTACCTGTAATTTCACCAGCACCCTTACCCTTCGAAACCGGAACGCAGTAATGCTCACATTACTGCTTGGTGGCTGAAATAGGTAAGGTTCTCTTTCCCACGGAGCTCTACTGCTACTTATTCTTCCAGAAACTTCGAAATATTTGTTCAGTGTCGCAATTTTGGGCCCTGCAGTTGTCTTCAGAAGGTTGTTGGGCCTGACGCGTATTCTGTTCAGTATCGACACGACTTTTTAAGTGGTATAGCCATGAAACTATCTACACGCGCATCAGCGATCATAGATGAGGCACTGCAGAAACGTGACAACCCCAACAACGCCCTGAAGGCGTTGTTATTAACACTCAGAGCATTCAGGGAGCGCTGAGTGTAGCTCGTCCACAGAGCAGTAATAAGCAATGCATGTAGAAGATAATGACAGATTTAAAGTTTACCAAATTCATTATAAATATATATAGTAATCATATTTGACCAGAGATGGCTTTGTTAATCTCGAGTTAAAATCGGGTTATACCCCATTAATGCCCTAAATAGAGGGCAAAAACTAATTAAATTAAATATTTGTTGTAAATAGAGTTTAGTTCAGATTTAATGATATTATCACAAAATGTTTATTGCTTTTTGATCTAGAAGATTAACATTTGCCTTTCTTTTGAATCGGTTCGCTAAAAATTCGCATTGAAATAGTTCGATACAAAAAATCGTTAAATTGTACGCACTTGAATCGATTTTCGTAAAAATCGAATCGTAATGTGCATCCTTAGTATTGATAATACGCAGGGTTGCAAAGTGGGTATAGTGTGGCGTTGCCTATTATTCGTCTAAAAAAGATTTTTTTACATCGAAATGACGATCGCCAACTCCCATATAAATTTTTGTTGACATAATTTGTTTTTGTCTGTTTATGACAAATATGTGAAAATATAGAGTTAAAATTCCTGAACAAGTTTTGTTTTGGGTTTACTATTCTGAGAAGTCGGGAATTAAAGATATTCCAGTTTAAAGTTTTGTTACGTAATTGAATAAAATATATTCGGTGTATTATTATATCAAAATAAACTACAGAAGCCTTAAACAGAGTTAATAGAAACTGAATGGTGCCGTGGGTTTGTGACGTGACGAAAGTTAATAGGAAATTACTTTGTATACTGGTATGGTCAAAAGGCATGGAGTTAAGCCACAACAAAAAAAACTAAATTATTTAATAACGTGTCACAGACTATCGCACTGGTAACTTGGATACAAATTAATAAATATTCATTAATAATATTTTTTTTGTGAAACGTGCCATCTATCCCTGATTTTGGGAACTTTTTTGTCAGTTTTACAATTTTCTCGCTTGGCATTTTGGAGAAGAAATTAACAATTTTATTTTTTGTAATGAAATGATTAATCTTTTATTAGCTTATTACAAATCGGTCGAAGCGGTACATTTATTATTACGTCAACTAAATGTGAACCATATCCATACGTACGTACTGACATTCGTTTTGTAGCGGCTAGAAAAAAATTGTATTGTACCAATAAATAAACTGAGAGTTGTAGATTCCAGTTACATACTAATTAGTCATTAGTTTCTTTTAAATATGATTTTATTTCCAGACTTAGATAGGCCGCTATTATAATTTGAAAAACCTAATGAAATTATTTTATTTAAAATTGTAATCAAGATTCTTTTAACTTTGATTTTGTCGTTGTTCTTTGTAATAGGTATGGAATTATTCCGTATTCTACATTCGCAGTTTTTGCCCACGATTTTGGGCAGAAACGGATGAATGCCCGCCGCTTTGGGTGAAAACCCGGTTAAAACCAGGGCGGATTTATTGGGTTTGAACCCATTGCCCATCTCTATATATGACCTTTATATAATTATTAATTCTCATTTGTACAGTCAACAGCGCTGCCATCCTTAACGTAACTAACGTAATCAACATATTTAACGGAATTGAGCAACATAAACATACTGGGATCAGCAAAACGCAATCTACAACCCCATATAAGCGGTTTTTTAGTATCTTATTTTGTTTCAGTTTTATCGGTAAGCAAATTCAGCGTGATTGATTGGTGATTTTTTATGTGACAATAAAACTTTAAGTGCCAGAATCTCGAGAGTTTAGTAGCACTAGAGCTCCTAGAAAGAGTTCGTCCAGGTAAGTACTGACACCTTACCTATTTCTGCCGCCAAGCTGTAATACACACATTTTTTAAGGGTCCTGGTGAAATTACAGGCACAAGGGACTTGTCAACCTATGTTTCAGGGTGACAGGCGCAGTGGCAACGTCTCTCACATCTTAAAGCTCTGAGTGAAACTGCAACTGCTATGAACAGGCGTGTAGCTTAACATCAAACGCACGACGTATTAATAAAAAAAGTTACCGAATTACAAAGACGTTAGTTATGATAAGGAGAGCAGAGCACGTCAAGCTATATACTTAAGTTCGAATATCGCTTCCAGTGCAAAGGAACAAGATCCGGCAATTTGTAGTTTGATGTGCTGCTGTCTGTACATTAAAAGAGAACAGATTAAAAGGTAGAGTATTTTCATTAAAATCACATCTTGTTCTAATTGGTATAATCCGAAGTAGGTGCTTTACATTGAACTGCTCTCGTAATTTAATAAAAAAAAACCTTGAAAAGAAACGCCTAAATAGTTTTTGCGCCCAAAATGTTCTTTTAATGAGCGGATTTTCTCAGAATAAGAGCAATTAATCCGGCCTGTCAAAAGCAAAGTTTTTGGTACGTTGCCACCGATTACCAACTTATATTTGCAGTTGGTCGCTTTGAAAACGAACATTTATGTGGCTGTACCTATCTGTCATTTAACCTATCAGACCGCGAGACCACGTTAGACATTTCTTCAAATAATGTGGTAGATATAATGTTAATAATATAGTAGATGATTTTTAATAGCAATAGAGCTTCTTGAGAAAGTCTACTGTCGCCAAGCAGTAATGCTCACATTGCTGCGTTCCGGTTTTGAAGGGTAACGGCGCCTTCAAATTAAATGCTTGTAGAAGCGCTGCAGTGCTATATCGACACGTCCAATCGTCGAGTATATAACCGGAAATAGAGACGAAATGTCATTTAATTGGGTTTGAAAACTTCTACCAAATCATGCGGTGACAACTGCGCTCCGATTGGCTAGCCCGAATTCGAAATAATTGACGGGTGTCGTCAATTGTTTTACATCAAATCGGCCAGTTTAACTTGAGCTTTGCTATAATGGAACAAAATTTATTTAATAGTTTAGGTAGGTAGTGTAGTTCGCACGGCTAGAAGATGTTGACACCCGCCTTTTCAGTTCCTTCGAGACCGAGGACGTTGCAATACGTCCGAAACATCGAGGTAATTAAAATATGTCTTATACATATTATGTCTTACACATATTTTAATTACCTTATTTTTTGAGTCCCGAATCAAATAAATTTGTCTAAATTGCTTCTAATCTAGATGTTCTGGGTCAACTCATAGGACAACAGTGACGAAGCGCCCGTGTAACTCGTTTCCCACCGGCTTGCCTAAAATTTTCCACGTTTTACATTGACTTACAATTATATGGACGTCGGGTCCGCGCTAAAAAGTGTCCGCACTTGTAAGGCGCTAAAATCGTATACAGAGCGCGACACTCCGCTTTAGTCTTCATTAGTTCTACTGACAGCGCGATACTACGATGACATTACAATTTAAATTTCGAATAGGTTGACTTGGGACATTTTTTTCGTGGTTTTTGTATTAGACCCGTCGTCCATTTATTTGTAAGTCAATGACGTTTTAGTAGTAATTCACTAAATTTTGTGTTCAATTTTATGTGTAGAATAACTTAAGCAGTGAAATGAAGTGTACTAGTCTTGTGTGCTCATAAATGTTCGTTTAAGTGTCACCCAGGCGCCATTTTTTGTTAAGACCTAGGTTGTACGTTACTAACGATAATTTTTACGCCTCGCCACTGTAGCGCAAGCAATTTCCTAGCTTAAGACCAGGGCCACAAGTCAGTTAATTTTAAATCATCTCATTTGTGTGTCGGTAGAGTGTCAATGGCAGGATTTTGGTATTCTGTTAAAAAGTACGAGTAACACTTGTCAGTGGCTAGCCAATGAGCTACTATGCACGTGCCATTACAATTTTTTTTTTTTGTATACGTAGTCTACTAACAATTCGACATAAGAAAGTACATTTAATCTGAAGACTAAATTGTTGCTTAAACGAGACAAAAATACAGAAATTTTCATGGTAGTTTTGTTGGTGAATAAATGAATGTTATCACTACCAATCCA